TTCAAAACGGGGAGAGATGAATGACCGAAGCTGCAATGGAGCTGTAGAAGAGAAGAAGTACTAGTGCGTGCAGTCAATCTTGGCACCTGTGTGGGGAAAGAATCTAGCACATATAAGCCATTGAGCTCACGTCCTCTACCAATAATTTACTTCGTCCCAAGATCCTTGAAAACATAATGGTTAGGAAAGAAAAGAACACTACAGTTAAATGATTTAGTAATTTGACTCACAGATAAAAGATTGGAAGGAAACTGAGGTAAACATAAAACGGATGACATTGGTAGAGAGTTTGTTGGATGTGCAGTCCCATATCCAACAACAGGAGTTGTAGACCCATTAGCTAAAGTGACACATGGTAAATTGGAAGAGTATTGAAGTGATGAAAGTATACCTGTATTTCCAGTCATATGATTTGTGGCACCGAAATCAATGACCCAATTATGGGATGCGGTAGAAAGACGCTATAGAATTACCTGTGTTGGCTATAAAGTAGAGGTGGAAGTGGAAGTGGAAGTGGAAGTGGAAGGAGTAAGAGGCTGTTGAAAGGTGGGCTGTTGAGAAGCGAAAAAATGTGTAAGGCGGGCATATTCATCTGCTGAAATTGTAATTTGAGGCTGAGTAGAAGGTGTAGGTAAAAGACCATCCTGAGTGGCAACATTTGCAAACTTTCTCATGGGAGTCTGCCTGTGTTCTTTGCTGGTTTACCATTTAACTTCCAACAGTTCCTTCTAATATGTCCTTGCTCTCCACAATAACAACCACGAGAACCACCACTAAAAATTTTATCTCGACTACCTCCTCTATTATTATAATTGTTATTCAATTTTGAATTTGTGCCAACCAGAGCTACCGTCTCATTTGGTACTATGCCTTGCTCCTTGTCATTGTCTTTGCATACCCGAAGGAGATGAGCATATATATCACTCAACGAAGGTAGTGCCTCATTGGTAAGTAATTGAGTAAAGCCACCTCATATTCAGGATCCAATCCTGCAAGGAAACACTGGACCACAATTTGCTCTTCTTGTTCTTGCATCTTCTTCACATCACTAGAAATAGGAAACATGGCTCGCTTTTCTTCAAATGCTTGTTTTACTTCAGTATAATATTGAAACAGATTTCGCCCCTTTTGCTTAGCCCGATAAATTTTCAGCATTAGTTCATGAACATGTGATACATCATGTTTACTAGCATACATAAACTCTAGATAGTTCCACATTTCTTTCATAGTATCGCAATGATTAATAACATCAACAACTGTCGGATCAAGAGTATTTTGAATCTGATTAAAGAGTTTATCATCCTCTATCAACCATTTCTTTCGGATCCCAGGATTAGTATCAGAACGTGGAGGTGGATCATCAGTTAAGTGATCGCCGAAATCTAAACTTGACACATACTTACGGATAATTCTCTTCCATTGAGCATAATTTCTACTACTCGTTAACTTTCTTTCTGTGATTTTTGAGGATGGGGTCACTGTGATTTCATTCACCATTTTCATATCACGTTCAGCCATGGTTAACAAATGACCAAAGGGACTTAATACAATATTTTCCGGAACCTTGTATGGTCCAATCAGATTAATCAAAATTCAACCAAGTAAATTCTGCCCAATTCAAATAGTTTAGCCCAACTAATAATTAATCAAAACAATAGCCCAACACTATTTAATTAATAGTAGCCCAAATCAATGGCCCAACAACACCATAATCCAACTCCACAACCAAGACTCACGATCCAAACTCAATCCAGGAAAGGAATCGAGAACAAAGCTGTTAGAACAAATGTAACTTATATTTCAAAAGTATTATGGGGTTTGATGAATTTCAAAGACATGACGTTGAAAATTTTTAATATATAAAACTTTCTTTCAAGAAATATCTGAAAAATTAATAGAGTAAATGAATTAGCTAAAGTGCCAAATACTTTGATGGGATCCATAACAATTAGTATGCAAAAAAATAAAAAAGTAAAAAAAAATTATAAGTATTGGGGCAGTGTTGAAAAGTTTAATCAATTGTTGTACATTGCAATGGTTTTTGATCCAATGCAACTGTAGTCTTAAAAATTATTGCAATTATGGTTGAACTTTGTAATTTTTTATTGTTATAAGCTTGTATTGAGATCAATATATTGTATTCAAATGTTTTTATTTAGAAAGTTTCAATCTAAATTTTGTATTTAGATTTTAGACTATATACTTATGTTCTAATTTTTTTTTTTTCAAAAATGGTTACTTTTATGTCATAAGGAAAAGGGGTGGTTCAAACCCAAACCGCACCGAACTGCGATTTGGTTTAGAGAGTAAATTGTTTGGTTTTGACTATTTAATTAATAGTAGCCCAAATCAATGGCCCAACAACACCATAATCCAACTCCACAACCAAGACTCACGATCCAAACTCAATCCAGGAAAGGAATCGAGAACAAAGCTGTTAGAACAAATGTAACTTATATTTCAAAAGTATTATGGGGTTTGATGAATTTCAAAGACATGACGTTGAAAATTTTTAATATATAAAACTTTCTTTCAAGAAATATCTGAAAAATTAATAGAGTAAATGAATTAGCTAAAGTGCCAAATACTTTGATGGGATCCATAACAATTAGTATGCAAAAAAATAAAAAAGTAAAAAAAAATTATAAGTATTGGGGCAGTGTTGAAAAGTTTAATCAATTGTTGAACATTGCAATGGTTTTTGATCCAATGCAACTGTAGTCTTAAAAATTATTGCAATTATGGTTGAACTTTGTAACTTTTTATTGTTATAAGCTTGTATTGAGATCAATATATTGTATTCAAATGTTTTTATTTAGAAAGTTCCAATCTAAATTTTGTATTTAGATTTTAGACTATATACTTATGTTCTAATTTTTTTTTTTTCAAAAATGGTTACTTTTATGTCATAAGGAAAAGGGGTGGTTCAAACCCAAACCGCACCGAACTGCGATTTGGTTTAGAGAGTAAATTGTTTGGTTTTGGAATTTTTTTAAAAAGGCCCAAAACCACTCAAACTGAACTGTGCCCTAACTATTACAAACGGCACTTAAAGTGTTTTAGAAATTTGGTGCGTTCAAACAAAAAATTTGTTTAAAACCAAAATAGGAAATAAGAAAATGCAAGAATAAGAGCTTAACTTGTAGCTGAAGTTGTAAGGTGTCGTAGAAAATAGATGAAATGATACCATTCGTAATAATATTACAAAGCGAATGAAAGAAATGAAGTAGTTGGTGTATTTTGTGATTTTTTTTGAGTTTCAAATGAGTGGAGAAGATGGAAAGTTGTGGAGTTTATGTTTTGAATTTCAAAATTTGTCCTAATTTCCAAGATGCAAACAAAGTGTGTGATGTTTGTTTTTGTTTTGAATACAAAGGTATTTTAGATGAAGTATTATTATTTTGGTTTATTAGGCCATAATCACACTTGAGTGGCTATTTGAACTAAATCTAAAACATAAATTTGTTTATCGGAAGTATAAAGTTCAAGACAAAAACAAAAATCAAACACATTGTCTTCATTTTTGAAAATATGGTGGGAATTTGAAATGCAAAACAAAAACTCCACAAACCTTCCGTCTTGTCTCCTCATTTGAAATTCAAAATCTCCAAGAAAAACCTTCGATCTTTTCCATTCTTTGCTTTTGTGCTTGGTATGATATCAAATAGTGTCATTTCATATTTCTACTTCAACAACTTGGAACTTCAGCTAAAAAAGGGCTCTCATTCTTGCATTTCCTTTTTACATTTGGTTTGTTTATACAAAATTTTTGATTGTCGAGTTGAACAAGCCGATTTTATTACTTTGTATTACAAATGACATTACCATTTGTAGAGTTTGGTCGAACAAATCTTCACAAACGGTAGAGAGCCATTGGTCACAGGTATCGAAACACTAGAGATGACACTTTGCTAAGAGTTGGGTCAAACAATTATTCACAAATTAGAGAGTGCCATTTTGGTCACCAAGGCGACCCTCTACCATTTTGTTATGATTATTTAAAATGATACTTTGCCTTTCTGAATTAAGGGTATTAAGTCTTTTAATAAGTTGTGAGGCCTTTAAACTTGTAATGTTGAGGGAATACCCTTTACACTTAAAAGTATTGTTGACTAGGCTCTTTAACAGAATTCCCCCATTTTTGGTCAAAGGACATAATTATACAGTATGAAGCTATTGCGGGCATTTGAACTAAATCCCACACTGTAGCATATTCTAGAAGATCTTTCTTACAAACAAAATATTACACACATCACCACCAACAAGAAACCAAGCGTTAGTCCCACTGAATTTGTGTCCGGCCATGTGAATCATTTTTGAAGGATTATTTCACAAGATTTGACAAAGTCTTATTGCTAGTTGTCAACCTACCAAAGTAGTCCTTTATCTGGCTTGGGGCCTGCTATGAAAAAAACATGGGCAGTGTTAAAAATGTTGCATACACGTGTTTCTCTACAGAAATTTGAGCAATACAATTTGAGCATTTCATGGAAACCAACATATACACAAGTTGAAGCCTAAATTTTGAGATATCTTTCAAGATAAATATTATGCTAATTAGGCATCCTGCATTTACTGTCGACCCAAAAATAGCTGCATGCCTGCATCCAGTGAGAATTACAGGATTTCTACATAAACTTGTTACTTATCTGCTAATTTGTCATAAACTGATTTCGTTATGTAATTTCAATCAGGTCTTGAATTTAGCTTTGCCTTGGAACTGCACATGCATTTGGCAGATGGGAAATGTACAAGGATAACGAACTGTTTATTCCTAAATATATAGAATGGAAAGAATTTTGCTTCAGATTTCTTTAGCTCGCCTTGCTGTATACTGTAGTAGATAGCAACTTTTACAAAGTTGCTTTCCCTTATTTAATGCTACCTAGGGGAGTGACTTTGTCCTAATTAGTTTGTTTTATTAAGAATAGATTAAAAGCTCTTCTAGAATGAGGTTCGACTGGCTATCGTTATGAGTTGACATTTTATTTTCTGGACAGTTCATTATGAAGGCGTTCTTGCCGAAACTGGTGAGGTTTTTGATACTACACATGAAGATAATACCATCTTCACCTTTGAACTGGGCCAGGGATCTGTAATTAAGGCCTGGGACATTGCACTAAAAACCATGAAGGTGAGTGAGTATTCATGCTTTCAATAGCTATTATTGTAGTGTTTTTCTACCATAACTTTATTTTCTTGATTTAATTAGCTATTATTGTTGAATTGTTGAGAATAACCACCTAATATAATTTGTCTTTTGATGGTTTTTCTAGGTTGGTGAGGTTGCAAAGATCACTTGTAAGCCAGAATATGCATATGGCAGCGCTGGTTCTCCACCAGATGTCCCCCCAGAGTAAATGGGTTTCTTCTTTAATCTTGATCTTGTTGCATAAACGTAATCTATGAAAAATTCCATCATAAACACCCGTTATTCTAAGTTTGGAAAGAAAAGTAAACGCTTATTATTTTGAACATTTTGTAACATCTCGTTAGCATGAAAAATTGTGGGGAATACTTGTATGAAAAAACTTCCCTAATTTATTGTCCTCCTAAATACATAAGTTTAATGTTAGGAATGTTGAACCACCCATTTTCCTTAACTACTAATTATTACTTGAACGTTCCTTTCAATTAAACGTGGCTATATTCCTGAGTGGCAAACCAAGGGGGAAGACTGTCACTCCTCAGGATTAGTTGGGCAAAACTCGAACGCTTGAGTCACAAAAAAGAGAGAGGCTATTTTCTAGAGGAGTTGATAGAAAATGAGTTGTCACTGAAGAGAAACAGGCAGTTGAAAGTTTCCGGAAAGGTTACATTTTTGCAGGAAAAGACGATAAATGATCATTTCTTCTATTTTTAAATTTTCCACTAGCCCCACTGTTCGGATGCTCAAGCTCAATATCATGCATATTGCTTGTGTTTCTGTATGGCATTTTCAATTCTTTTCCTGGATGCCAAATGCATGAAAAATTCAAATAACTTCCCTTGACCTTCCTTTCTCTTGCCCAGCACCCAAGAACTAACTACTCGTTGGATACTAGGAAGGTTAATCTAGTCAAAAAAAAATTTCTTGTGTTTGTTTGGTTGAATAAAATTTTTAAAGGAAAATAGCTGGTGGTTGAAAAAAAAAATGTGCAGTTTAAATTTCCTCGTGAACTTCCTATATATTTGTACTGGAAACATTTTTTTCCCCTCCAGAAAAGTATTTTCAATTATTATCTTTTTACCCTACACAAAAAATTATAAATGTGAATTTTTTTGAAATATTCATTTATTTATTTATTTATATATATATATTTTGGCCAAACTGAAATTAGTCTTTTGCTGAAAATTTTAATAAATGTGATAATTCAATGATTTTGGTGCCTTTTTATTAAAATGTTCTTTGGGCAATCTATGCCAAGTTAACGAGTAAGACTAGAATGTCTATATAGAATTGGAACTCTCTTCAGTTTTGCCTAGTTCAATGAGAATGATTAGATGGTTTGAAATTCGTGCAAAAAGGAAGAGTGTCTAAAAGTAAATAGACTATAAATTCTTGTCTACTTTCATGAAGTTGAATGCCCGTGTGGTTTGGAATTCCTACAAAAAGAAAGGGAGAGGTTTGGTTACATATTTGAAGAGAGAAGGGTAGATTTGTCAAAAAGTTCAAAAGTTGGACATGATTGATTAGTGTTTCCAATGCTTGTACGGGACCCTTTTTTTAACTTATGTGGCCGTCTAGTAGCTTGAGACTGAATTGAGTGAGTCAGTGCGGCAGGTTGAAGGAGCTAACATGCATTTTTCTGGCATTTTCCCTTACCGGTGTTTTTAATTTTAATTTTTTAATTTTTTTTTAAATGAAATGTGGGCTGCCCCTCCAGAGAAAGTTGACATAATTCATTTCTCTCCAAGTGTTCTATGGGGGGGGGGGGCTTCCTGCACTTATCTTTTTCATTCTTATAATAAGAATATTTAGGTGTTTCATTATCCCCTCTCCGAAGGCTAAGGCCCTGTTCTCTTCGTATTTCGGTTTTGTATTTTTGAGTTTTGAATTCATTTTGGGTTTTGTGTTTTGAGTGCCTGTTTCGAAATTGTTGAAAATACGTTCTTTTTGTCACTCTACAAAATTGTTTCTCAAAACACAAAAATGGAAAACACGTTTGTTTTGAAATTTTGAGAACGTCACCACCAGCCACCACTGCCAACCAAAATCAACGCAACCACCATTGACATCGTCGAAAATCACCATTGTCGACCGTCACCACCATCATGAACCATCACCATCAACCAAAATCACCACCACCACCACCATGAACTATCAACCAAAATCAATCATTGCCACCGCCAAAATCAACCACAATCAACACCACCATGAACCATCAACCATTGCAACCGCCACCGCCATCATCATCAACCACTGTCAAAACTACCAAAATCAACATTATAAGTAGAGGGGGAAAAGCAGAAAACGAAGAAGAAAGGGGAGAAACACAGAAACCAAAATCAACGCCCAAATCAACACCACCACCATCACAATCAGACATCGAAGAGAGAGGAGATGGAGACGGGCAAACGGATCTGTCGCGACGCTGCAGTGAACTGTCGCAACGCTGCTGTTCACGGCAGTGTCACCTCCCCACGCCGGCGCCGGCTTCGACACTCACCGTTGTCGCCTCCCAACGCGAAGCCGACGTCCAGACGAAGAGGAGAAAGAGAGGGTTGAAGGAAGAGAGAAGGGATAAGGTTTAATGGGTTTCTTTCTCTTGTTTTCCGCGTTTTCAACTTTTTCTGGATTTTTTACAGAAAACATCCAAAACGCCAATTTTGACGTTTTGTGTTTTCTTTACATTTTTTGCTTTTGTTTTTGAAAATTCGTTTTCGGAAACGGAAAAGAGAATGCGTTTTCACTGTTTTCAAAAATCGAAAATAGAAAACGACTTGAAAACAGCAAAGAGAACAGGGCCTAAACTTGTGCTGCTTGTAAATAAAAGCTACGTGGTCAGAGTCTTCCATTAGCGTGCTTGTAATGGTGTACTGATTTCGTTATGTAATTTCAATCAGGTCTTGAATTTAGCTTTGCCTTGGAACTGCACATGCATTTGGCAGATGGGAAATGTACAAGGATAACGAACTGTTTATTCCTAAATATATAGAATGGAAAGAATTTTGCTTCAGATTTCTTTAGCTCGCCTTGCTGTATACTGTAGTAGATAGCAACTTTTACAAAGTTGCTTTCCCTTATTTAATGCTACCTAGGGGAGTGACTTTGTCCTAATTAGTTTGTTTTATTAAGAATAGATTAAAAGCTCTTCTAGAATGAGGTTCGACTGGCTATCGTTATGAGTTGACATTTTATTTTCTGGACAGTTCATTATGAAGGCGTTCTTGCCGAAACTGGTGAGGTTTTTGATACTACACATGAAGATAATACCATCTTCACCTTTGAACTGGGCCAGGGATCTGTAATTAAGGCCTGGGACATTGCACTAAAAACCATGAAGGTGAGTGAGTATTCATGCTTTCAATAGCTATTATTGTAGTGTTTTTCTACCATAACTTTATTTTCTTGATTTAATTAGCTATTATTGTTGAATTGTTGAGAATAACCACCTAATATAATTTGTCTTTTGATGGTTTTTCTAGGTTGGTGAGGTTGCAAAGATCACTTGTAAGCCAGAATATGCATATGGCAGCGCTGGTTCTCCACCAGATGTCCCCCCAGAGTAAATGGGTTTCTTCTTTAATCTTGATCTTGTTGCATAAACGTAATCTATGAAAAATTCCATCATAAACACCCGTTATTCTAAGTTTGGAAAGAAAAGTAAACGCTTATTATTTTGAACATTTTGTAACATCTCGTTAGCATGAAAAATTGTGGGGAATACTTGTATGAAAAAACTTCCCTAATTTATTGTCCTCCTAAATACATAAGTTTAATGTTAGGAATGTTGAACCACCCATTTTCCTTAACTACTAATTATTACTTGAACGTTCCTTTCAATTAAACGTGGCTATATTCCTGAGTGGCAAACCAAGGGGGAAGACCGTCACTCCTCAGGATTAGTTGGGCAAAACTCGAACGCTTGAGTCACAAAAAAAAAGAGGCTATTTTCTAGAGGAGTTGATAGAAAATGAGTTGTCACTGAAGAGAAACAGGCAGTTGAAAGTTTCCGGAAAGGTTACATTTTTGCAGGAAAAGACGATAAATGATCATTTCTTCTATTTTTAAATTTTCCACTAGCCCCACTGTTCGGATGCTCAAGCTCAATATCATGCATATTGCTTGTGTTTCTGTATGGCATTTTCAATTCTTTTCCTGGATGCCAAATGCATGAAAAATTCAAATAACTTCCCTTGACCTTCCTTTCTCTTGCCCAGCACCCAAGAACTAACTACTCGTTGGATACTAGGAAGGTTAATCTAGTCAAAAAAAAATTTCTTGTGTTTGTTTGGTTGAATAAAATTTTTAAAGGAAAATAGCTGGTGGTTGAAAAAAAAAATGTGCAGTTTAAATTTCCTCGTGAACTTCCTATATATTTGTACTGGAAACATTTTTTTCCCCTCCAGAAAAGTATTTTCAATTATTATCTTTTTACCCTACACAAAAAATTATAAATGTGAATTTTTTTGAAATATTCATTTATTTATTTATTTATATATATATATTTTGGCCAAACTGAAATTAGTCTTTTGCTGAAAATTTTAATAAATGTGATAATTCAATGATTTTGGTGCCTTTTTATTAAAATGTTCTTTGGGCAATCTATGCCAAGTTAACGAGTAAGACTAGAATGTCTATATAGAATTGGAACTCTCTTCAGTTTTGCCTAGTTCAATGAGAATGATTAGATGGTTTGAAATTCGTGCAAAAAGGAAGAGTGTCTAAAAGTAAATAGACTATAAATTCTTGTCTACTTTCATGAAGTTGAATGCCCGTGTGGTTTGGAATTCCTACAAAAAGAAAGGGAGAGGTTTGGTTACATATTTGAAGAGAGAAGGGTAGATTTGTCAAAAAGTTCAAAAGTTGGACATGATTGATTAGTGTTTCCAATGCTTGTACGGGACCCTTTTTTAACTTATGTGGCCGTCTAGTAGCTTGAGACTGAACTGAGTGAGTCAGTGCGGCAGGTTGAAGGAGCTAACATGCATTTTTCTGGCATTTTCCCTTACCGGTGTTTTTAATTTTAATTTTTTAATTTTTTTTTAAATGAAATGTGGGCTGCCCCTCCAGAGAAAGTTGACATAATTCATTTCTCTCCAAGTGTTCTATGGGGGGGGGGGGCTTCCTGCACTTATCTTTTTCATTCTTATAATAAGAATATTTAGGTGTTTCATTATCCCCTCTCCGAAGGCTAAGGCCCTGTTCTCTTCGTATTTCGGTTTTGTATTTTTGAGTTTTGAATTCATTTTGGGTTTTGTGTTTTGAGTGCCTGTTTCGAAATTGTTGAAAATACGTTCTTTTTGTCACTCTACAAAATTGTTTCTCAAAACACAAAAATGGAAAACACGTTTGTTTTGAAATTTTGAGAACGTCACCACCAGCCACCACTGCCAACCAAAATCAACGCAACCACCATTGACATCGTCGAAAATCACCATTGTCGACCGTCACCACCATCATGAACCATCACCATCAACCAAAATCACCACCACCACCACCATGAACTATCAACCAAAATCAATCATTGCCACCGCCAAAATCAACCACAATCAACACCACCATGAACCATCAACCATTGCAACCGCCACCGCCATCATCATCAACCACTGTCAAAACTACCAAAATCAACATTATAAGTAGAGGGGGAAAAGCAGAAAACGAAGAAGAAAGGGGAGAAACACAGAAACCAAAATCAACGCCCAAATCAACACCACCACCATCACAATCAGACATCGAAGAGAGAGGAGATGGAGACGGGCAAACGGATCTGTCGCGACGCTGCAGTGAACTGTCGCAACGCTGCTGTTCACGGCAGTGTCACCTCCCCACGCCGGCGCCGGCTTCGACACTCACCGTTGTCGCCTCCCAACGCGAAGCCGACGTCCAGAAGAAGAGGAGAAAGAGAGGGTTGAAGGAAGAGAGAAGGGATAAGGTTTAATGGGTTTCTTTCTCCTGTTTTCCGCGTTTTCAACTTTTTCTGGATTTTTTACAGAAAACATCCAAAACGCCAATTTTGACGTTTTGTGTTTTCTTTACATTTTTTGTTTTTGTTTTTGAAAATTCGTTTTCGGAAACGGAAAAGAGAATGCGTTTTCACTGTTTTCAAAAATCGAAAATAGAAAACGACTTGAAAACAGCAAAGAGAACAGGGCCTAAACTTGTGCTGCTTGTAAATAAAAGCTACGTGGTCAGAGTCTTCCATTAGCGTGCTTGTAATGGTGTTCTTCCATTAGCGTGCTTGTAATGGTGTACACATTTTAACTAGCTAAAATTTTGATCTGAAAAGAATGTCCTTATACTGATTGGGATCTTGATATGTGGCTGGCCCTCCTTTATTTGTGTACATGTTTCTCATATCTTGTAGTTTTCCCCGCATATGATAAGACATAATGAATTGATATTCTGAGCACTCAAGATTTTAACTGGTAATAATAATTCGTCATTATTAATATCTAGTAATCAAAATTTATGGTTTTTCATTTATATGATGCAGTGCAACTCTTGTTTTTGAGGTGGAGTTGGTGGCTTGCCGACCTCGAAAGGGCTCTAGTTTAAGTAGTGCTTCAGATGAAAGGGCTAGACTGGAGTAAGTTATCTATGTAGTTTCGTTGTTTTGGACTATATGCTTTCGAGATTACCACACTTTGTGTACTTTTCTAGTGGTACATCAACTTTTGACCGAAATCCTTAATTTTCACACATTGAATAGAGGGATGAAAGTAGTGCATGATATGTTGTCACAATCATCCACAAAAATAAAGTTGCAAGTGCAACAATGTACAACCTGCAGCAGTAAAACTTCATGAAATGTGACCAATCTGTGGTCAGGAATTCTTTATTTTTTCCTATTCGATAGAGTCGAGTTGATTTAATAAATGTAGTGCATTAATTACGAGTTTGTCCTAGATTAAGTCCATGTCTGGCTAATGCCTATAAACTGCTTATGATATGTCAAACAACCTTTTATCAACAAGTTTCGTAAGATCCACAAGTGTTACCCACATATCTCCTACTATTTCTATCAATTTATAATTTGAACCGATTATGAACGACTCCCAAAGATGCTTTAAGTTAAAATAGTGCTTGTTTCTGAGCTACACTCCAATGACGTGTTTTCTGAGTCGAACAAGATGGAATTTAAGAAGAGAATAAAGTTCAAATCTTATTTGTTGTCCTATGTATTCTTGATCATTCGCATACCAAAAACATTTGAATATGACGTACTAATTCAGTGTACCCTGAAAATTCTTCAGGGAGCTTAAGAAGCAGAGGGAAATTGCAGCTGCTGCCAAAGAGGAAGAGAAGAAGAAAAGGGAAGAAGCTAAGGCTGCGGCCGCTGCTCGGATTCAAGCCAAGCTTGAAGCAAAGAAAGGTCAGGGCAAGGGAAAGGGCAAAGCTAAATAGGATATTTAGACAATGTCCTATGTAGAAGACGTGTTTTGGATGTTATATGTGGAGTCATCTACTTTTTATAATTTTCAGTATTCAGAGGACCAATAATCTTATGAGCCAGTTTGAGTTACACAAAAATATTAACAGTGGTGTCTTTAAAATTGTTCTCCATATATTACCATTTTACTAAAAGATTTCTTCTAGTTACAATTTTTCTCACCATGTCTAGTTTAATGTGTCAAATATGTTCCATGGAGGTTAAGATTCTTTTTCGTGTTTATGCCTGGCTGGTGGTCGGGTTAGTAAAGTCGTACATCGACAGTAAATGGTGCTATAACAAGTCGTAAATTATCTTTTCATTTAGAATTAATCTATTTGTACAATGTTTTTGTACTACATTGTTGACAATGTTGATTGTGGCAAAAAAGTGTTGGTTGAGAAGATGAATTGTTTTTTAAATTGTCTAATGACAACATATCACGTGACATGTTGTCAAAATCATTGTACATCAAGCATTGTTCATTTTATAATGCTGAAAACAACAGGATCAATAGAATCATTGATCTGTGTTGTTAAAAATATTGGAAAAAATTTTGGATTTGTGTAAAATATCTTTATTGTGAGAATCCTTGGTTGGAAACTAGTTTTAGAAAAAAGGGATTTTTGAAGAATAGTAGACACAGGGGTTGAGCCATAACCAATGAGCACTAATTCCACACTTATTTTATATATAATTGACAACCTCTCTCTTTTTGTCCCCAGGAACTCTCTCTCAAACATCTTGAACAGCCATGGAATCTAATTCAATTGTACATTTCCTTCACACTTGTTATCCATTCAAATTTAGTTTTCTCCTCAAAGCAATCACTGATTGTTTTCCACTCAAAGCAAAGAAAACAATCCCTAAGCCTCCAAAAAACTCTTCTTTCACCATAATGTCTCCCTTACGGTTGGCACGCCACACAGCAAGTTGCCATGGTCCTTGACACGGGCAGTGAACTCTCTTGGCTACACAGCAAGAAAACCCAAACACACTCCATTTTCGCATACCAACATGGCAACACCTTTACCATATTTTGATGGAGTTGCCTATACGGTTCAGCTTGAAGGAACTAAGGTTTCTACTTTCTACTATAGTCCTTCCGTCACCAAGTCAGTAGAACCGGACCATACCGGGGACAGTCAGACAATGGTGAACTCAGCTACACACTTTAGTTTCTTGCTCGGGCAGGTTTACACTGCACTGAAAAGCGAATTCGTGAAGCAAACAAAGGGAATTCTAAGGGCATTGAATAACCCAAATTTTGTGTTTGAAAGGACAATGGATTTGTGCTATAGAGTAGAGCAGAACAGAACAGTTTTGCCACCATTGCGGACTGTGAATTTGTTGTTTAGAGGAGTGGAAATGAGTGTATATGAAGAGAGATTATTGTACAGATTTGAAGGTGCCAATAGGGGAAGTGATGGAATAAAATTTGATATTGCAAAACCCAGAGTGGTATTGGCCAAGTTCAAGTGTGATTTAGCTAGTCAATGATGAGGGTTAGGATCCTAATTCTTAAGGTCCAAATCATTTATTTATTTATTTATTATTATTTATTTATTTTTTACTTCTATCATCCCTGTTCATGTCCTGGCGTGCCTTTCTTTAACGCAAAAGGGTTAAGGAACGGTAGAAGTATGCTCTTGTAAAAACCTAATTTCGGCCAAATCTATGAACAGAAAAACAATAAAGATACACACAGAAAATTTGAATTTGTTGAAGATAGTTTGTTCATTGATTGAAGAAAGCATTAAATTACAATGATTGGTGTAAGAGGTCAACATGAACACAAATACACAAGTTTTTTAATACCATCCCTTATAATAGGTTTAAGATACAAAAACCAAAATGACACGTTTAAAAGTTGAATTATAATAAATATTTACAAATGACTGAAAAGAATATTTATAAAGTACGGTCAAAGTTGAGTCGAGTGAATAAGAGAGCAAGTGACACGTTGACACATTTGAAATATACTATAAGAAAAAAAAATTTAGCTTAGTTTTCTTCATTAATCATATGGTGAAAAGACTAATGTAATGGATTCAGCTCGAGAATATTTTTTGTTTTTGTTTTTTGATGACGGGAAAACCCGTAACCGTTACCCTTCGGGTGCGTATTGGGTAAACCTTCGAGCTAACGCAATAACCTGCAACCACATCAGCCAAGTAAACTGTACTAGGCAAGTACTATGCGACAGACTTGACCGAAAAAGTATTGATAGTGAGAATCGAACTTGTGACTAAAGACCTCCGTGCTCACCTACTCCATCAACTCAACCATCCCATTTGGGGCAGCTCAAGGTTTTTAATGGTACTAAAGTTGGTTTAGTTGATTATCAGATGACATCATGATTGAAATAATAAATAAATGTTTTTGTTTCTTCTGTTTGTTGTTTGGTAATGTCTGGCAACCTGTTAGAAGAATTTGGAACTCATAAGCAATTTTTACTTTAGTTTAAAGGACATAAACATCATCTCTTACGATTGATAATTTATGATTCAGAGAGTACTTGTGGACCAGACCCTAATAAATCTACACTTACCTCTTAAATTAAAGAAATGTCTAGCTAGTGTTCATATTCACACATTCCGTGTTATCTATGAGTACTAAAAACTATATATAAACACTTCCCAAATAAGCTCTTAACTGCATTTCATCCAACAGAAAGAGTTCAATGCAGACAAGGACTCGTACCTCGACTAAACATAAACCACAAAGGTGGGTACACAGTACGTCAACCCCTCAACTGAACTATGGTCTCTTTGAATGTAGGAGAAAAAGGTCATTATTGAGATTTAATCAGAAATCAGCTTGTTGAAGAGAGATTGATCAGTCATTATCAAGCAAAGTAGGATAACCAGGGTTGACCTGTTGGACTGTGATAATAGCGAGTGTCCAATTGACTAAGAATATGTCCAAGATGTAATTAAAAGTAATCAACGCCAAACATGATTCTTCAAAGTTACTTTGCTTTTTTAACTAAAAACACTTAATTTTCTAGATAGTAGTATTTAACTTCTAAGCACAGCCAAGTATGCTCTTACAGGAAATACACAGCAGCTAGAAAGCAATTCAAATTCGTGAAGCCTTGCATCAACAGACCACTACACGTTAAATCCCAGTGAGACACAGCTAGCCAGGGTTTTGCATCAATCCAATTTGTGACAGCATCGGAAACACATACGAATTCACTTGGGATGTCAAATTTAAGATTCAGAATCTTCAACTATTGACATCTACTTTGTAGTCTATCATTGCTACTCTACCAGCCAACTTTGAAACTAAGCAAGTTAATCGTGTATATATACATACATACATATATTTATATATATATATATATGATCATGGGTGTCCGGACCAACTTACACGCACCTCGACTAATTTTACGGGGCCCTGAAATTTACAGCTAGGTACTCACCTCAGTAGCCCTGAGGGAACTCGAATTGGTGATCATTGAGGAGCAAACCCAAAACTTCACCACTAAGCTATCCCTCAAGGTTAATCATATAATCACAATAAAACAACAATTTCATAATTTTGACAGTTAGATATATTAAAATGACATCAACCAAAAACAACCAAAAAAAACCCTCCCCCACTTTGTTTTTGACACCTCATCAATACGCAAAAAATTATGTAATTAGTGATGTAAAAAATTATGTAATTAATTATGTATAACAAGCATTTTCCCTAAAATATAGTCTCTTCAGACGTAGAACATAGACAATCATATGTGCGCCAAAGAATTTTGCACATGCCCAAAATATTAGATTTTTAGAAACAATATAGTAACACCTTCTCCTGTCATACGCCAATCATACGACAAAGAAAATCTACAACAAACATGAAACTTGAACTCATTAGGCTTCATGAACTTGAGCATTACAAAAAACTAATGATACATGAAAATGATAGCATCGAAGCTAACTACAAATATAAAAAATAAGAAGGAATACAATAAGAGAGAAAGACTAACAACTCTCAAGTTCAAATACAAATCAGTACATGGGGCTTTTACCTTCTACTTCCCCATTCTCAGAAGCTGATTGTCAATCTGTTTTGGAGTTATTCTCCTCTATTACTTCATCTCCTTATCTTGTTTTGCTCCCAAACCATCTACAATTCAGTTATTAACCAAAATTTCATTGAGCAATAATTCTTGGACGAACATGAAACTGATCAATCAATGTAGATCATTCCTTTCCATCTAACTACCATGAATGACAATAAAGCCTACCACCAATTTCATCCACAAATTCAATTCATATACTAGCAATCCCTCTTTCAAAATTCACCATCTTCTGTTGTTTCCTTCATTATCGTCAAATCCCCATCCTCTACGTCGTCTAGATGTGGAGCTGAAACTACTCCTGCGACTTATTCTAGAATCCAAACTAGAACTAGAAGCGGATGATTCATTCCTGCCAAAACAAGATAACAAACCACGGATAACTCTCCTCAACCCACCTCTTTCCCGTGAAACACTTCCATTCGACCCCCATGAAATCCTCCTCGGAGCCCCATTATTGTTAAATCCACCATCCATCTCCGTGTATACAACAGGCAACTCTCTTTCCCCACCCCTCCCTCCCATAAACCTTCCAACGGCGAACCCACCTCCTGGCAACCTCCATATTGTAAGTCCAACGGTCTCATCATCATTCACAATCTCATTCCCTCCTCTATTTACTGAAGTTGTATTGCGATGATAGTTAGTATCATTATTCTCATCATCCGTTGGTAATTCGTGTCTACAAACAGGACATGAATTTCGCAATGAAAGCCATGGCAATATGCAGTCTTGATGATACAAATGCTTGCAGGGCATTTCTCGAGCCTCATTCCCCAAGTCAAAGGCCTCTTTACAAACAGCACAGTGTGATTCGGTGGCTATATGTTGATCGATTATCTCAACTGTGGGCATCGATTCAATTGCCGCTTTCGATGCAGGCGCATTTCTGTGAATTCTCCCAATACCATTCGCCTCAATTTGGGCCAATTGATCAAGCAATCTGTCGAAACCCGACCCAAGTAGAAACTCCGACATGCTAGCTGGTAAGGGGCGTAAACCCGAACCCGCACCGTCATCATAATACAGTTCAAATCCACCACCGGCCGTGGCGCCGCCTCCACCATCATTGGGCCCACGGAGGACAACCACCGGGTTGAACGGTGACCTATCACCCCCATTTCTCCGGTTCCTCCTAAGCCTCGGGCTGGAACCCGAACTCGGACCGGACCCGGAAAGAGACCCGGGTCCCGACTCCGGATTCCGCATCATGTACATAGCGGAGGCCGGAAAACGCCGTCTGCGGGAGTCAGACAGCGAAGAGCCGGTCGAATTCTCGATTTCTTCTACAAACCCGCTGTTGCAATCAGGGCAAGCAATCGAATCTTGGGTCCAAACCCTAACAAATCGGTTGCATCTGTAACACCAATATGCTGAATTCATCGACATCTAAAATTTATTTCAAAAATCGATCCTTGAGAGTCTCAAATTTTCTTTCAGATCTGAAAATGGCCTTAATCTTCCAAAATCAAAGATCTCGACAAAATATGAAAAATCAAGACTCAAAACACATAAAATTAGAGACGACAAAAGTGCGTGGGTAATAGAAAATCAGAGGGAGGGGGAGAAGAGTTTGGGGACGAAGAAATCAGAGAGGAAAATCGAATATAAGAGGAATGGACATGTAGGTAATAAAACTTTGTGTATAGGGGTAAATATGGAAATAAAGATTTTGGGTTATTAACGTGTATTCAACGATTTGAATGAATAAAGCGTTACTAAATTGTGTAAATAGAAATAACGAGAGGGTTGAGACCATGGCGCGTGAAGTTAAATTTGTTCAAACTGATGACGTGTCCTGTTATGGTAGGTCAATCAACGGCAAATTATTGACTGAGAATTACAGAAGATTTGTAGTAGTAGTCCTCACGCTTTAACATTTGGAGCAAATTTGATCTCTGAACTCTATAATGATGCATTTGAATAGTTAACTTTTCAATTCAATTGCAGTTGTCCTCCTTGTAAATGGCTTGTGACCTTGACCCTTTTAAAGGAGTAAAGTTGTTTATCAAAACATAACCATTTTTTCCTTGGGCCATCTTAGGTCCGTTTGATTACAAAAATATAATTTGGGTGGAAAGAAAATAAATTCCAGGAAATTTAGTTGCCTGAAAATTGTTTTATTGAAAATTGTCAATTATTGTGTGTGATTCGTATAATTTTTCACGTGAAAAATGTTGAAATAAAAGTATTTTTTGGTATTCGTTTGACTTTGTTTTAAATTAATAGAATTAGTTTCCAGTATCCAAAAAAAGTCAAGAAAATCATCTATATTTTGGTGTTCGTTTAACTTTGTTTTACATGAAAATTGTCAATTAAAGAAAAATATTTTTTTTTACAATTAGAGAAAATTTGTTTCCATTGCAAAAAAATAAAAAATAAAATCAATAGATCAACCTAGAAAACCAATTCCCATTTTCTATGAAAACCAAGAAAATGTCCAATTTTCAAGAAAATCAATTTCATGGAAAAAAAAAATGCCATCACACAGTTAAAAAATGGAAGTTGAAATTTGAATTCCATTTTTCATGAAAAATAATGGTCAATCAAACATGGCCTAAGATGATCGCACCAAAATGGTGCAGCCCTATTCATTTGCGTCAAACTAATACAAAGAATGATATGTGGTTGGAGATACATTAAAATTTAAATTTAAATTATAGATGAAAACCATTCGAAATGAAATTTGAACTAGGTTATTTTATTTATTAGACGTAATGGCACGTAGATCATAAGTGTTTATTTAAATTTAATCTAGATCGCAATCCTTGGAACACATATGGAGATGCTTTTATTTTTGGATTGTGTGTCCATATAATATGTTCTTTGTGATAAAATAATATTTTATAAATAATTAGATTGAATTGTTTAGAGTCAATTAGACGTGATCTAATTACTTGACTTTGGATAATGCATGACTGAACAAGTTTTGATGGTAGCTTGAAAAAGTTTTGGACTCAATTACATTTATTTTTTTCCGCCTGTTTTGACTTGGACTTGAAGAATGACATTTCTCCTATAAACAGCAGCCCTTGTGGGTCCCATTTTCACCATTTGAAAATGTGCCCAACGTTTTGCTTGGAGAGAAAAATTAGAAAATTTTAATCACATTTTTTACGAGTCGACAACTTTTCGGCCATTCTAAAACTTGTCCATTCTAAGACGTTTTTCTTGTTTCGTCCATTCTAAAACTTGTTTCATGTTTGGTTATGATTAAAATCTGATTTTAATCTAAGTAAAAATCAAACCATCAATATTAATTACATTTTTCATGGGTCTTCAACTTTTCAACCACACATTTCAAAAACTTCTGTCACAACTATAAAAAAATCCAATTTTAATCCATAACAAATATCCTCTTGATTTTTTGTTTTAATTTAAAAAAGTGCTCACATGTCAGTGTAGTCTTATTTCTGAAAACATCGAAGAAGACTGAAAATTGAAAGTATCTAATTCTTGAACTCAACAATTGCAAGTTTATAATCTAGAAAGCTAAAAGTTCATGATTTAGATACAAATGAATATTTGGTTATCAAATTTGGATAAATTCTTAAAGAAAAAGCTATTTGAACAGGGTCACGTCGTCCCTGGTCGAAAAGGGGGACAATGTGGTGCTCTGTACTCCGTTCTTAATCTAAGTTTTTTTTTTTATTTTGACATGCATGTGAATATCTAATAATAATCTTAAATTCTTGAATTAAAGGAAATTTTGATTTTCTATGTAATTTTTGTTCGCATTCCAACACTTAACCTCATTTGAAAACATTATTTGTTGTTGGGTTTCAAAATGGATAGATTGAGCTGAATGGATATACAGACAACTAGGCCTGATTCAATCTCAATGGAATTTTTCTAAAGGTTCTTTTTTTTTAATAGAATTAATACACAGGGAGACAACAATTATTTTAACAACAGTCAATCATAGGTTAACAGCTATTTTTTCTGTATTAATTTTGTTAAAAATTCTGTACCTATAGCAAAGTTCATCTCAAATGTGTGTTTTAAACCAACGATTCAAGCTTGGGACCAAATTGATCCACGAACCCAACGATATTTTTGTCAAGCTAGCTAGCCAAACCAATCGTTTTTGTTTTTCATTCTTTTGGGAAATTATGTGATCTAAATTAAGCAATAATTGAAAAAAAGAAAAAAGAAAAAAAAGAAGAATATCTGGTGTGAAACAAGAGATTGTCAGAAAACTATAGAAGATAAATAAATATTTTTACTTTTTAGCCAAAAAATTGTTTGTTTGAAAAAAAAGGAATCATATTAGAATTTAAAAAGAAAGAGAAGCTGGTTGAGCAACGAAGGATAGCTTTAACCTTTTAAATTTATTTTTAGTATTAATTTTCTTTAATAATTAGACAAATTGGATCCACCTTTATGGCTTTATAGGTTGTCGGACTAATCAATCAAAACCGACATAGTCCATTCATTATGACGTGCCAATCCATGATTCAGCCAATCGAATCCGACCAATTAATTTTGATTCGAGTTTTAAACGGTCCAATGACTCCATTTATTTTGACATCATTAATTTTTAAAATAAATCTCTAAACAGTATGTCCGTAATGGAAATACTTTCCCCTTATCAAAGAGTAGGTACAGCACATTAAACAATATTGTTACGCTCCTATTTGAGCCGTCTCGGAATGCCCACCATCACACATTTCGACTTGATAGACATCCATCCGAAGTATTTTCGAAGTGATCTCACCAATGTCAAAGACCTGATAGCACACTACGAGACATAGACGATCCTGCTGAACTGATCGAAGCGCTCTCGTTCCTAAGGCCGAGGTGAAGTGGACCTCTATCAGAAGATCCGCCACCAATTTTAGAAAGAGATTTTTGTCAAGATCCTTTCTGCACCTAAGGTTTAAATTGATTTGACGTCTCCATGAGGCTTGTTGATGTGACTTATCAACTTTATGTCAACTGAACTCAGGAGAAACAAACTGCCCATCCACTCTACAGACACAGCTGATTGATGCCTATGAGCAGACACCTCATACCGTCAGATGTATACACGTGTCCCACATCCAACGGTTCATCCCACCTATAAATACCCAAGGTTTGGCAAGAGGCAAAGGTAATGAAACTCATACTACATCGCATTCCATAGCAAGTTTATATATTTTCTCCTCCTCTTTAGTGTTTTTGGCACAACCTCTGGGTATTGTTCCGACTACCCGAACCTGACTTGACCGTCGGAGTGTATACGGCCACCACCACCCCTGCTGGTCTCGGCCGTGTGCGTCTGATCGTGCGTTGATTGTGCATAGGGAGGAATACGTGGAGTAGCTATCGGTTGGCCACGTAGAAGGTCCAATTTTCGAGGTCAACAGATTGGTGCCGTCTGTGGGAAACACTTCCCGTTCAAAGTTCTGCATTCTCCACCAGAGAAGTTACCGAAAAACTAACAACTAAACCTGAAAAGTGCACTTTCTTGAAAAAGAACAAAGTCGAGTTACAATTCAAGTTATCACCACCCTTGAAAAAGGAGATAGGATGAGCTATAGCCATGAAGATGACAACCCCATAAGAGCGGTCTCTGAAGAAGAAGTGCTCCATAACAATGTTACACATCAGAGACCCCATCACCGGTGTCGCCGAGGTGGAAGAACAGCCTTGCTCACTGAAGGAATGACTCAAATAACTGCGGGTATGAGAGACATCGCAGCTCAGAATATGGCAATGCATGAACTTCTCATGCAAGCCCGAGGTCACCCGGGCTCTCAAATGCCCCAACGGTCTTACCCAGTGCAGGAAGCCCTAGTATCTCGTTCCGAGGCCACACCAGTCAGCACAGAGAACGCCCACTCGAAAGAGAAGTGGGCGCCGAGGCCACATCTTATGTGCAAGAGAGCCAGCCATCAGAACCCCACTTGGGGGATAACTTCCCTTAAGAATATGAAGAATAGAGATCCATAAGCATCTTCAACCGGATAGGGGAGGATCCTAGCAATAGGGTCCGCACAGTGAGAAAATCAGTTCGGCCGGATCAGGAATAAGAACAGGCCCCTCCTCCTCCTAGAAATAGGAGGGACATGAGGAACCTAGTTGATTGGGGGAGTCCAGGAGGGGTACCTCCACCTCCCCAGAACATTCAAGATGATGAAGGGTCAGATGGGCCCTGTCAATCTTATGAGATTGACAATGATGATAATAACCTCCCTTTCTCAAGGGAGATCCGAAGTTTCCCAATGCCAACAAATTTCATGCCTCCTAAGATCCCCAAGTATGAAGGAAAGGGGGACCCGGAGAAGCACCTCACCAAGTACATAACACAGATGAGCTTAAGGAGAGCCTCGCCCGCTTTGAAATGCAGAGCCTTCCATTTAACACTAGGCGGAGCCGCCGAAGTGTGGTACATCAGGCTTCCTTCCCTAAGCATTAGAAGTTGGCCAAATTTGAAGAAAGCATTCTTGAACCAATACCTCTCACGCAGAGAAGGAGAGGCACCAGTGCAACGCCTGCAAGATATGAGGCAGGCCCATGAGGAGACGTTGAAAAGTTCTCTCGCCAAGTTTACAGATGAAATCACCTACTGTGAACAGGTCACTCACAGAGAAGCCCTTTCAGCCTTGAAAAGCGGGCTCAACATGAACACTTTGTTCTGGAAGGACGTGCGCAGCAAGAGTCCCTCCACCTATGACAAA